ATTTCTAAGGTTTGTGGTAAATACTACAAGTACTAGAATATAAAATCTAAAAAAATTTTATCAGCAATATTTAACATTTCTAGTAAATGTGGGTATTGCTTCATCATTACACTGCTTCATTTTAGTTCATTAAAAAAAGTGTTGTGAATATTTCAGAGCGCGCTCTCATTTCCTTATACATAAAAATCCACTCTCCTGACTTTTTTTTTTTTAAACCTTTGGAGTTCAACTTTATATATATTATTTTTCATATGCTGACAGCTCTACAGAAGTGATCACAGCTTGCATTTAGTGTCTGTCTCCCCAAAAAACTGCTGGATCAGCTTTTCTGATTAGTTGATGCTTTGTCAAGCTGCAAAAGTTTATTTTTTTTTTTAACTCCAGCATCGCATGGCTTCCGCGTTCAGATGCAGACATTTTCGGTGCTGCTAATCAGAATTTTACCAAGTGAGGAACAAATGGCTGTTCTGTTACTCTGTAAAATAAAATATTAGGCAGTGAGCTCCTGCTAACCATGGGGACTTTATTCTCTTCTCCTTTTCAGTTCGGATTTTATAAATCCCTGATGTTAACAATCAACCATGTAAGTAACCCCACCTTTTCATCTGGCATAAATTAAGTTTCTAGATTGAATGTGTTCACATTATAAATATGGTTACCGAAAAGTTAATTTCTTAATTATTCTCTTCAATCATCCCTGTTTGTTTGAAAATGGTAAAATGGTCAAATATTAAACTAAAGTGTGTTTGTTTTGCGCAGCCAGTGCATAACGATGGGAGCAGTACGATCTACATCCACAACATCACAATGAAGGAGACCAGGGAGCTCAGAGAAACACTACGGAAAATGGACTCTGTTAAAAACTTCCTTCCTCTGCTCAACAAGGTAGAAACAAAAGCTTCTGTGAGCGCATTTGTCATTTTGAGCGTAAAATGCTTTCGGTTTGACTCTGTTTTCGGTTTCAGGTGTTTATTGAGTTCAAGTCTGCTCTTGATGCTGATTTGTTCGGAATTCAGTTCAGCCTTCTAAAGAATCGCCCGCCACATAACATCTACAGGATGAAACTTTCCAAAACATCATCATCACGTAAGGCTGATGTTTAAATACAGTTATATTTATAGTATTACTGTAAGATTCATGATTAAAAAAAAATACTTCTCAACTACTTTTAACTACTGGTATATTACTGATATATATAAATAATATTATATATAAATGAAATATTCAAAGTATCAAACCTACTAAAATACAGACGGTACCTCCAACAACTATAGAAATAAAAGAACTGCTAAAAAAAAAATGGATCCAATAAAATCTGGATGTGATCTCTTCGTCCTCTGGCATGGGAGCTGGCTCGGAGCTCATCTGCCTTTTACAGCTACTTTTTTTGTCTCTACTTCTGTCTCCTTGAACCCCAGTCGGCCTCGGCAGATGACTGGTTCTGCTGGAGGTTTCTTCCTGTTAAAAGGGAGTTT